TCACTGCCCTGGTCCTGCTGGCCACAGTATTCCTGATCCAAGCCAGGATTCCACTGGCCTTCCTGTCCACCTGGGCACACAGCTGGCTCATGGTCAGCCACCTGTCAAACAGAACTCCCAGGTCCTCTTCCTCTGGGCCACTTTCCAGTCCCTCTTTCCCCAGCCTGTAGCACTGCAGGGGGTTGTTGTAACCCACGTGCAGGACCCGGCATTTGGCCTTGTTGAACCTCATACAATTGGCCTCAACCCACTAATCCAGCCTGTCCAGATCCATCTGCAGAGCTTCCTACCTTCCAGCAGATTAATGCTCCCACCCAGCTTCGTGTCATCTACAACCTGACTGAGGGTGCCCCTGATGCCCTCATCCAGATTATCAATAAAGATATTAAACAGGAGGAGCAAATTTACTGCACTAGCAGAAAACACACCTAAATGAGTTAGTAGGCTAAAGTACCAGCTGAGCTTGATCCTGTCTTCCTCACAAGTAAGCATTGGCCTTTGAAGGTTTATGGTTTTGAACTGCCAAGCTGAGATACAATACTTGCTTAAGGGTCCTTGAATTGCTGTTCCTTCCAAGTCTTCAAACACAGACATGAGAAAATGCTAGAAAAAAACATAACAACTGACATGGCTATCAGTAGTCCTCAAAATCCAATCTTACTGCCACACAACAAGGTAAGGCAGCCATTGCCCACTTCTCTAGTTATGCACCAACCACCCAGATATTTAACCACTACACAATTTCAGGGTTTGGGGTTTTTTTCCCTTTTTACAGAACCTCAGTAATAAAAAAAAGAATACAGCTTTAAAAATAGATCACTTGAAGAATATCAACTCGACAACTATTCCTCAGTACTCTACCACCTGCTCAGTATTAAATCTCCATTCCTGCTTGCAGCGTTGCAAAAAATGCCATTAAGTATCTGTGAGCTGAGTTACTGGGCAAGAACTTGACTCCAAGAATACAGTAGAATTTACAAACCTTAACCAAGCCCAGAAGACCACTAGGACAGACCCAGGTACAGGCACACCTCCTCCCTTTTGGAAATAGAGCTGTTAAGGTAATTTACCATTTCTTAAAAACAGTAGAATGAATGAAAGGCAAAAGGCTTGTTTCCTTTCTTTATACAGTTGCTCAGTCTACATTTCCCTAGTTAAAAACCCATAGGTAATCCACTGTTGCCAGTGTCAGTATTTCCAAACCAAATGGGGAATTCCTACCAACTGTGTTTGCAGATCAGAGATTTAGCAGCCTCATAAAGCTTCTCTTGTGAGACACACTGATCTAATCTGTTTACTTTCAGAAAGATTATTGTAGATAATTAGCTACCTGGATTTGGGAGGATGCACTACATACATACAGTTGCTTTCAATTCCAGGAATTCAAGAAACTTATAAGTGCCCTGCAAGTGTTTATAAGAAATTTCCTTCCACCACTCTTTTTTTTTTTTTCAGAGGTTCAGAATAAATTTTGGGGAATGAAGGATTTTAAATTAACTCTAACTTCTTCCACAATGTAAGAAGCATTTTAACATCCTTGACAGTAAATCCCAGGGATTTTATTTTAAACAAAATTTTTGGAACAAAATCGAGATTGCCAGAAAAAGAGCAGCACCTTGCACGTCATCATTTTCTGTATAATAGTGACATTAAGTCTTCCTTGAAAACTGCTAAGGAAACATATGGATAATTTCACAGAGAAGTGTCACAAAGCAAAGCCCTACAGAGGAAAGTAAAAATAAACAATATCCTCTTCTCTTCACTCATCCCATTAGAATAGCAACAGAATATAAACTAAGCAAGAGAGCAATTGGTCATCCTCTTGGAAAAGTCATGAAAAGAATCTCAACTTTACAATATTAAGATAACAGAAAAAAAAATACAAAACTCTCACTGTGATTTGCTACAAAGCTGAAGTAAAACTTGTCATCTAAAAAAGACAATGATGTGCAATTTTAAAATATCTTTCCAAAAAGTAGACAAACCAGAATCTCATTATGCAAGTACAACATCCTTTGAGGGCATTGTGCTGGGGTTTGGGGTGGGGGGAGGAAGAGGAACACCAAAGACAGGATGTTACGTGAGGGATCTGTAGTGCTGCGTGCTTGATTTTAATCAGCCACAGTAACACTGATTTCACAAGGTCATGACTAAAATCATTAGTTGTTCTTTTGTAAGTTTAGTCCCTGCCCCTGAGAAGCACCAGGAATATGTGCCTTGGAGGTAGATCAGGTGTAATTCAGCTGCTTTCCCACATGATTTCACCTATCTCAACTCTTTCCTGTTCCTGGATGATACAATGCATGACCTTGCATTCCTTTCCACCAAGAGCCCTCCCAACACTCAGTGCAAGGACTGCCAGCAGGAGCGCTAAATGTGTGTTTACAACCGTGGTCACTGCTGTGCCTCAGGAGTTAAGAGCAACCATTTAAACAAAGGCCATTCATAACTCGCACGTTGTTAAGGTTTGGTCAGCCTCTCATAATTGTCCCTGATATTCCTTTTGAGCTACATTTTCTGCAGGAGATACACAAGTTTACAGCAGGGGCCCTTCCCACATTTGCACTGCTGGGACTGCCAGGTTGTGAATTTTTTGTTGTTTAAAGCCCAGCCAGTACTCAGAAAAGATAGTGTCATTAGCAGTTGTCCTAAACTGTTTTTTTCTCCTTCTGTGCCTTGCATGGCCCCAATTCTTTCACACTGTATGCCATTTAAAGCTCACTACACAAACACTTCCCCTCCTTCATGCCATCATCTTCCAACACACCCAGCTATCACATTACCTTCACAGATATTTATCCCTACCTCTGTTCCACAGCTAGTGTTACTCAGCTGCATGTTCAGTATAAAATCAACATTGAAATCAAGCAGGAAAAAAAAAGCTTTGCTGATGTTACCTAAACAAAAAATAAGGAGAACTTCAACATTTTGAAGCTAGGAATATTTCAAAGTTTTTTAAAATGTTGGGTTTTTTAAATACTATACTAATTGAGAGTACGTTTTCCGACTTTATATTGTTCCCACACGGCAAACATTCCCATCCATCAAAGTCAAAAGCTTCTTATCAGTGATCAAAATACATTGCCTGCTCATTTGGACCTGCCTCCAACTGTTACACCAATGGGATATTTCAACAGTGGCACAAAGAGCCTTCTCCTGGTGCTCCAAGAGGCAGCGACTGGAAGCAGTGCAACCACACAGAAAACATCACAGAATTCCTGCCAAGGTTCTGACCACAACGTGCCCCAGCCAAGCTCTGCTGGGTACTGAGGACAGAACAGTTCCACCTTAGGGCCCCACAGCACCTTCAGCCTCCCCTGAATCCCACAGCAGCTGGTGTTGGGTCTCACAAGGGGATGTGCACAGCAACACTCCAGGCTGCACGTGGCTCATGGGGCCATTTGCCTGAGCTGGTTAGAACTGATTTATTTGGAGGGCTGCCAGGAATCTAAACTGACATTTAACTAAACCCACTGCTTATGTTAAAGGGGTAGCTCACCATCTGAGAGGAGCCAGAATTTGAAAGCTAAACAGCTTTCAAATATAGTTGATTCAACTGAGAGGGGAAAGTGCTTTTAAGAGGCCAGTGATGTCTTTACCAGTTGTTTCAGTTTGCCAGCCACAGAGGAAGGCAAACGTATTACTCGTAACAGTGACTTAACAATCCTCACTTTTCTATATTTCACTTTTCTAGGAGCAAAAAGAGAATTTAAAAAGATGTTCTCCTTTTTAGCATTTCTATTTAATATGTAAAGTCACAAATATTTTGTCTGCATAAACACTGTGACTAACAGTTTGCCAATTAAAAAAATGTTGAAAACTAGGCACTGAGAGTAACAACGTTGCTCCTCAGACTGAAGGCAGTAGTAAAACATGTCTCAAATCAATTATACAAATAATTAGTGCATGCAAGTGGTTTAAGTAAATGTCAGAAGTTCTTTCATGTGACATGAGTGTCAGTAAACTCCCTGATGTAGCACTGTGTTTGGTATTTTATAACAGGCATTCATTCCACAGCTCAGACTTCTGCATTTTTGTCTCAAATATGCTCTTGAAAGGCATTGCAGAATTGGATAAGCTGAAGGAAAATGTTGTATCCCACAAAATTCAACAATTTACCATGTTAGCCAATAAAATTTTAGCTAATATAAGCAAGCAGATTGAAAAAAGGAACTGGAATTAATTCAAGTAATGATGACAGGCCAGGACTGTGTGTATATTAAAAAAAGAAAAAAAATTCTTTAATAAAACTCACTGATTTGGAGAAGCCTCTGCTTTCTATAATTCTGTCCACACATTCAATACAGCACATCTTCAAAGTTTAAAAACATGAGATCAGTATTCACTTTTTAAAATTCTTCCTGTTGTTATCTGTTTCAGCTCTCCAACAAGGGTGTTAGAAAAAAAGAAAATCATACTATTGAGTAGCAAATACTGTAGAAACCATACTTTAAAAACCCCACAAACCAACAATAACACGTTGCTCCAACAGCAGCTACATTGATATTACCATGCTGGTCAATCTTGCTTTACAGAAGTAACAAGATACTCTTAGGACTAATTTTTTTTTTTCATGTTTGCTTATTATTATTATTACTATTAAAGTTGCTGAGCAACTGTTAGAAAATACTATTTACTGACTTTGGAAACAAAAATGGTTAAACCTTTTTCTTCTAGTATTCTTCATACAAAATAACTACACTTCAGCTCTGGGCATTTTTTGCATCCCGTCTCACAAGTGAATACAAAAATGGTTTGGAGAAAAAACTAATCTGATTGCAGGTTGTTACAGATTATCCAAAAATGCAGACACATTACCATGGCCACAGTAATTGTATCTAAGTTTCAATTTGGCTCTCTGAGGCAGGGATTGACCTGATGACCTCCAGAGCCCCTTTCACTGTAAATTATGCTGTGATTTTATGAATGAAAACTGAAAACACATGGCAACACCTTTTTTTTTTTTTATTTCAATTTATTATTATTCTATTTATACCTCAATAGTGCCCTCTGCTGATGTTTATCGTGCTTGATTATTTGCATGGAAAAATCGTGAGGGTATGTTTTGAGAATGTGTTAACACTTCTCCTGCAAAAGAAGGAAGGAAACAATTGCAGAATGTTCTTGTTGTCTCACATCCAACCAGTACAGGATGAATGTGTAGGGTTAGGGCAGAGAATGTAAATGATCAATACTTTTATCAGGTCATTTTGGAGAGTGAATATATTTAAAGTCAAAGCAGGTCTCTTCTCCCTCAAGCCATGAAAATTTAGGATACTTCACAGCAGCCTTCAGAGCCACAGAACAGCTCTATCCAAACATGTGAAAACCTCCAAAAAGAACTATCAGCCTTCCTTCCTACAACAATAGCAGTTCCATGGAGGTGACTTGAAGGAGGAGATTGAAAAGGGTATGTTGGAAAAACCTCTCAAACCTGGAAGATCACAGGGATCAGAATTAGCAACCATTCACCTTCAGCTGCCTGACCTATAGTTTTACATAATCTTTAGTAAAGAGGATTTTGGTGTAATTTGGTGCAAACTCTTGGCAGGTTCTGCTTAGGAGGACAACATCAAAACTGCTTTTAAGACACAGTTAAAATGGATGTATGTACAAAACAAACATTACAACACACAACAGAAAGCCAGCTTCTCCAAATGCTTGTCAGGATTGTGACTGGCTGTTTTAAAAGTTTCTCAGTTGTATGAGAATTAAACTTCATTAAAACTGCTATAAAGCTTTGCAAAAGGAAGTCAAAGCTTTCCCTTCAAAATTTTCAGTCTACTTAAATTCAAGTTCTAAGTAAACCCATTCTTTTTTCCAAATCTTACACTACTGTCCAAGCTTTGAAGGGCCACGCAGAAGTGTTTTGTCTTATTTTAGGTGTATCACAGCTAAATTTGTGTGCTAGTTTTTTCTTTTATATTCCTACAGTCTCAATGGGCAGCAAGAGTTCCTACTAAACTGGCTCTATTCCCCAGCCTATTAGCAATCACCATGATTGAACTTTCCCAGGGGCAAGTAATACAAATATTTTCCTATTAGAGTTATTAGGAAAAAATTTGTATAAGGAGTTATTAGGAAAAAAGTTTGTATAAGTTATATTATATTACTAATCACATGTGTATGAATTCAAAGGATTTCACATCTCCTTCATGGTGCATAAATGTCTTTCATAAACAGCATCTGTTTACAAAGGACCAGACTGCTCTGTTTACATGCCCATGGAAAACACAAATTACCCTAAAGAAAAGTAAACCCCCATCTTTTTCTGTGTATTACTGAATGGGACACAACAGTGAGGGAAATTCAGGCTAAACTTCCTGAGAAACTCTAAGAGCAAAGTTAAGCAATGAAGCTGATCCCCACAAGGGTTGAAAGGTTTCCATCACCACAGTTTCAGACAGATTGATATCAGTGTTGCATTCCTTAGGTACAGCTTCTGCACAAAATGGCACTGCTGAACTAAGAAAGAAACCTGCATTTTTAAGATTACATTAGAAAACACAACCACCCTTGTCAATCTTAAAAAATGGCTCAATATTAGAGGGACATCTGACTAAAAATGTGACAATCTGAGGCACACATACCTGTTCCTCCAGACTTGAGTCACACAGCTGTCAGCTGTACTACGTCTACCAATTTTGTTGCTGGAGTTGTGTTACCTTTGATTAACACAAAGGAGTTATGCCTGAACAATATTTAGTTATAAACTAGTTAAAGGTGTTTCTCTCACAAGTTTTGTGTTTCCAGCACGTGATGAATTACCACACATAGACCACTGAAATTGCAGTACCATCTACTAAGGTGTAAATGAGAGCCCCTCTTTATCCAGCAGGATAATAATCAGGAGTAACTTGTGAGAGTTGCACCTTCCTTCATTTGAATGGTCTGATCTGTGAGCATGCATAGTCACTTGACTGATATAAATAAACTTTTACTCATACTTGCAGAGGCAACATAGTTCTGTGAGCTTCTTTACTGGCTTCTCAATCAACAGAATTCTTGACTGAGTTCCAGCAGCAGCTCTGTTGGTGGTGATGTGCGACCTGGAAAAAACACAAGTTGACTTTACATCCCAGGCTGAGCCTGCAGATAGAAACAGTCTTATTTATAAACATACTGCATCATGGATGGCAATTCCAGCAGCAGAGGACTACAAGGCACTAACAGCACTCTTTGGCACATGAAATCACCTCAGAACTCCAGGCAGACATCCATATGCATCTTACTGAGAGAGACCAATTTAATCCCTTACACTATTCAGTCTCACCCACTTTAATGACGACAGATATTCTTCTATAAATGTGCAAACCCAAGAATTTCCAGGCAGTTCACAATACAGTATTTCTGGTGCAGCAGTTTGCTACTGCTGTGAACTGTAGCCTAGATTCCATTAACAACACAGGTTGAGAATACTAAGTCCAGTATCTCCCAGTATAACTACCTGGACTTATCAGGGAATACCAATTTTAGAAGATGCCTTGAGAAGGCAGAAGGGAGGCCTGAAAATTTACAACTGTACATTTTTTCTGCTTTTTAAGTGTTATTACCTGCTTCTGGGAAGTTCCAGTTAACAGGTACTCCTTCAGTGAAATCACTTTTAAAAGAATAGTTATCCACTTGCCACATGGTTTAGAAGTTGAGCAAGAAGATATTCTCAGAGCAGTACATGGAAATAGGTTCCAAATTATCTAGGGAACCAGTGCTTAGAATACCTCCTTGCATCTTAAAATAACATTTGCTTCTGCCTGATAACATTTACTGGTTCTCTTCCAATCTGAGGCCTTAATTCAAGAAGACAGCTGGGCTAATGCCTCATCAAGGATCAATGGCTCTACTTGCAAGGATCAAATTAGTTGTAAACTTGAGTTAGGTGTTGATGGCAGATATGAAAACAGGCCTCAAGCATGGCATCCATCCACATCACTGCTCAAATCACTGAACAAACTGTCCCTGGCCTTCTAAGAAGAATGTGCATATAAACACATCAAGTGCTAGACAGAAACACAGAACAGACATTTCTTAAATAAATGAATAGCTAGATACACATCGTGCTATTGCACTGGAATTTTAAAGTAGTCTGATTTATGTTTTCCATCCACAATGTAAGATGATAAAAAATAAGGTGTTTTGCATTATTAATAGAAAGATGCACTTAAAGACAGGACATAGAATCGTTGGCATAAAGGTCAGGTTTTAAAAGTGCACTTTTTCCTCATGGGATGAAATAAATTACACATAATATACCTCCTTTACAACTAGTAATTTAGATCCAATAGAATAATAGTTTCCATCTTGAGTGGGAAAAAATTAAAATTACTATTTTTCTTTCCCACATAAAGATTTATTTTTTTCCCCTGGGACTGAAAGTTATTAGTGTGTCCAACAAAAATTAATGACTTCTATCTAAAAAGCAAGAGATATTCATGAAACACTGTGGGGGGGAGAGCAAAATTCTAAATAAATACACTGATGAGAACATAAAGTAAACCTTAATAAAAATCCCAGCATCTCTAATAATTAATGCTGTGGTTGTGAGTAAATATTAGTCAGCCTGTATCTATATATTTTAGCAGTGCTTCTATTAAGGTCAAAGAAAACACCCATGAAATCTAAATTCATGAATATGTAAATAGACAAAAGAGCAAGGCTACTTACAGTTTCTTATTTTAAATGCATACATAATGTATTACACAGTACAGTATAAAATGTTATACATTATATTTAATGAACACGTGCAAGGACAGGGAAATATATGTGTTTATGTGTGTACACACACTTTATTTCAAAACACAAATATTTATTTTGCCATTCCTCCTTTTAAAAATTGATCTTAAAATGTTATGGAATAAGCTTTTAATAGCTTTAAAGGTTTACTCAGAAAAATATTAAAAATACAGGTTTCACAAATCAACACAAGATGGAAACTTCCAAACTTGGGTCCCCTGTTTACACCTTTAACTTTATGTCTTCAGAACATCTACACAGGCAGGAACTCCAAGGTGTTAATGAATTAAAATATAAATCATACCCAGGTTCTGCAACATCCATGCCATTCATCCTTGTGCTCATGCAGACATGGGATCTTGCTCTCCATCTTTCCAAGCACATTAGAAACAGGTTTAACGTTTTCAGAAGATTTCTGTGTGATGCAAACCAGATTTATATTATTTTTTGAAATTTTTTTTATCTAGATCAGCAGGTACTTGCATTCACAGGCTATTGAACAGATCATTCAGATCTCATCTGGCAGGACAGAGCTCTGCCCACAAAAAGTAAGGGCACTGATCTGTTTAAACATTGTCACCTTTAGTGCTTAAACAAAAGTGGAAAGGGTTCTGTAAAAGAAAAAAAAAAAATAATGGAGATATAGAAGAAAAGTAAATACTCAGAGAAGGAACTATGGATGTTAGATACATGAAAATCAATTGTTTTTCCTATTTCATTCTATGTATAGAAGTCAGTATATAGTTTATATGATGAATCACATTAATGAAAAGGATGTTGAGAACAACCAGTCACTGCCAGGAAACAGAGAAAGATTTGTTGACATATTCCCAAAAGTTTTCTTCATCTTCAGGCTGATTCTCAGGCTTCATCCTTCCTGAGAATTTCAGCACAAGTGTTCATTGTTATTTTTGGAACTGACTCCTGCACTCATGTCCTTGCTTGTATAATGTGTTTTCCTTTCCTTAAGCTTTCTGTTAAAAACTTGGGTTTTAGAGAACATGCACAGGTTTCAGAACGAAAAGAATTGTTTGAACAGGCATATAATGCAAGAAGGAGATATTTTAAATAAGATGTAGTTCCTCCACTACTTTCAAAATATTTTAAAAAGTACCACTGTAGTATCAGAAGACACTAATCTGTACCTATTCTGTAGTCTTTTTTACCTTCAGTTTTCAGGATACAATAACATTCCATTGAATAGAGGAAGCATATTTTATCATAAGCATTTTATGAAAAACAACTGTCATTATTACATGACAATATTCTATGTCAAAGTACCTGTCAAAAAAAAAAAACAGTTTATGAAAAATAATTTTATCAAAAAGACTAGAGGATGATGGAGAACTCAGTGTTCTGGGTTAGTTACTAACATCTCCATTACAGCATTAATGTGATTGAATGTGTTCAGAAATGGGTTGTGCAATTTCATTTCAAAGAACGTGGTGTCAGAACTCAGGAGTCCTCCTGGAAGAAAGCTTTGGCAAAGAATAGTCAGTGTAGTCTCCACCCCAAACTTCTGGTTTCTTTTTAAAAGTTTTGCTCTGATTAAGTGCAAGCTTTTGTAAACTAAATATTTTTAAAATTTGTGAAGTTCATAATAAATAAGCTAATAAAAAAATTGATATATCTCTTCAGCTGTAAATCTGTTTAAAGTCTTAAAGCCACTAGGTCTTCCTAGCAAATGTTCTATACTAAAAATTAGTGATACTTTCATTCTTGACATTTACAGCACTACAATGTCATCTGATACCTCTCCTGTCTTTTGTATAATCCTCACTTGTCCTATTAATTGCTGACATGCATTTTAAACCTGTAATGCTATTGCATAATCCCTGAAAAAGCCTTCACTAGAAAGAGAAGGGAGGGGGAAAAAATCACCCTTTTTGCATATGATATGTTTATCATTCAAAGAAAATTATCATTTAACAATTCAGTGTTTATCAATCGCAGTTTCTTGGAACAAGTAACATATTTTTGACATCTTGAAACACACTGAAGCCCAAGAGACAGGAAAATGCAGAGCTGTGACCAGAGAAAATACTGAACTCCACAGAGGAAGTCCAAATCCTCTGTAACGAGAACGCTGGATGCTGACTGTGAACAGTCGCCAGAAGGTGGCAACAGCGATACCGTTCTTGCATCGACAGTTTTATATTTAGAAACTTGGTGAGGTTTTAAGCATAAAAAATTTCACTTTATAGAATTGCACTCGTACTGTTAACTTTTTATGGCACTATTTATTTCTGGCCAGCCCCACAGAGAACAGAATGAAAGTCTCCTGCATCCTACAGCTGCCTCTCTGGAGTTTTCCAAGAGAAACTCTACAAAGCAAAGCAAACCCAAGGATTGTAATGTTTCTGGGATTCGTTTCTTTTAAACCACACTTGTATACCTACTAATCAACGCTAAGTATAATACACAGAAGGCAGAAGGCTATCAGTGCAAAAACTAACAAAAACAACAACAAAAATCGTCCTTTGAAAACCAACCATGAAGCGTACCGGGGTCAGACCAGGTTCTGTGTTCATCTAAAAATAAATGGAAATATTTCCCTGCATCCCACATGGAGAAGGATACTGAAAAGAAGTGCAGCTACAATTTCAGCACTGCAATATTCCTGAGTATGGAGACATTACATTTTATGCAACCCAGGCAAACCATAACCAGTGGTAGAGTGAATAGAAGTGGGCCTGTGCAAAGAGGAAATGTTTGTGCCAGGTAAGAGGATTAGAAAGAAGTCAGTAGGACAGGTAAGCATGAAGTGTGTCTCATGTCCCTTCAAGTTTTCTCTCTCCATCTTCAAATACACAACTTGCTTGCAAACCACAATCACAGGTACCCCTTACAGCCTTTGCTTGCAAAATAATTCTGTAGATTTAGGTGACTATCTAACTCAGTAGGACACAGCTAAGGGAAATATAATCATGTGAAGAAGCATGAAAAACAACAAAAAATTAACAACTCTGGCAGAATAAAATGATGCAGGTTTTAGTAGCTGCACAAAATATTTCACTACACCTCCCAGTGAAACATTAACACAAAGCAGTCAAGACCACCCATTCTTACAGCTCTGTCTTTTTAGATTTCATATTGTTTTATTAAAAGAGCTAGTTTTGTAGGAAAAGAGTACCTACAACATTGCTCAAAATTCATTTGATATAGCCTTCATCAGTGTTCCTTACCAGCAAGACAGAAAATCCCAGCTCCTTACAGGAACAAGTTTGAGATGCACAGCTAATCCAACAACCTCTGGAGCCAGCACAATATTAAACTATCGAACAAAAAAAATATATATACCTATTAAGTTCATTTTTAGTGCTTTCTTAACCAACCAGCCCAGCATTTTACTAAACCTGCTTGCTATCTTTTCAAGATACACACCATGTCAAGGCCTAAATTAATTAATGAGTTCTAAATACCCTGACCAACCCCACGAGGTGCATCCTACCACTGCCCTGCCTGGAGCCCAGGAGCCACTTGAAGATCATCCCAGGACTCACAGTTACACTGTAAAAGTGTTGATTCCTTTCTGTCACTGTATATAACATATCACAACTGGAAGTTCAATTTGCTGTATGATACTTTACTTATAGAAGTGTTTCTGATATTGTTAACAATCCAAGTTTAAAAGTAGTGATTTAAATTTCCATAGTAATAAAACACAAAGAAGTCAAAACAAAAGACAGCAAGATAAAATGAGCCTCGTGTCTTGAAATGTCCCTAAGCACTCATAATGTGAAAAAAAGCAGCTCTTTCCACTAGAACAATATCTTATACATAAAATAGGTTCTACATAGCAATAGTGATTTATTGTTATCAGTGTATATGGAAAAAAAGGACTTTTCCTGCTTTAAACAATATGTAAGTCAATAGTTTGCATAGTATAGCAACAAAATTTTAAACATTTAAAAACATTTCTATTAGGTTTATAGCAGGAAGCAAGAATTGTTTTCCCTCTTTAACTTCGGTTGAATATTCTTAAGGTCTGACCCTATAAAACCTTTCATTAAAACTAGTTTTCTGTCTGTGAGGAAAGTAAATTTACTACAGACACTGGTGAGCAAACACCTCAGGAACAGGCTGATTTTTCAGTCCAAACAGCTTCAGCATCAGCAACAATACCTAAAAAGTAGCTTATTTTGAAAAATCAGCCTATAAATCAGTAAAGTAGGCTTAGAAACTCTATTAATTAGCATCTTGCTCTGCATAACATTGGTTTTGGCATGTTTCCAATGCAAAAAATGCACACTCCTACTAATTTCAATGTCACTCAGCTTTCCTGCCACATGCAAAAGTTTCTCTACAAAAGGCATTTATGAAACAAATCTACTCAAAGAGCAGGAGAAATACTTGTTGCTGTAGTGGACCAGTTAACTCAGTTCAGAATAATTAGTGCATAAATAAAAATCAAAAGTTCACATTCAAAATGTTAAGTAATTAAAAATATTACTTACTTTGGCTTCAGAGAACAGGTGACACTGCAAGTCATCTAGTCATTGCTACTGTAATACATAGTATCACAGTAATTCACAACTATTTTTAAAATCAAATTTAGTAATATAATGCATTATAGTTGTGACTATTGACTCATTCAAAATTTTGTATTCTGTGGATAATTAGCTATGGGACAAAATTGTTTGCTTTAGGGTTTAACAGGTTGTGTAAGTAATGTCACAGATTTAATTTTTTTTTAATCATCTCAGTAGAAATGTGCCAGACGATCCTTTAGTCTTACTATCCTTTTTTTTTTTTTCCTCTTTTGGTGGCGAAAAAAAACCCAAGAGATTGGTCATATATTACTATGCTTGCTGTGTTTTATCCAAATACACCAATGCATCTGCCATCATAATTGGAAAAACACAATTTAGGAGCAGTCAAATCTTAAAATTTCTTCTTTACTTTGCGCCTCCCTGTGGCTGAATCCCTCACACAGAACAGGCTACAGGATCAGCCCCTGGGCTCAGCATCTTACCAGGTTTTATCAGATTCAGTATTTGTAATTAGAAACACTTGGATAATTTGAAAATAGTTGGCCGTGCTGCGGCTGAAAAATTCAAATATGTTTTAATAGTATTACACCAGCTGAGCTAGTCGGATAAAAATCTGTTTGGATTTACACACCGCTTTCCCACGAAGACGGGGGAAAATCCGCATATTTTAACGCGCTTATGCGGAAATTTTTTTAACGATTTTAAAACATCCTGAGAGGAGGCGTTGCCCCTGAGGGAGTCGCGGTCCCAAGACCAGAGAGAGCAGCCAGGCAAATCTACCCCATTGACCAGCGGGTGCGAGGACAACTAAAAACACGCGGCACTGCCTTTTAGTGTTTTATATACATATAGATATATCTATGGGTAGGTACGTGATGCATGTACGAACTGGAAGGGAGAACACCCAGCTTTCCCCTCACGCCGCCGCGGAGGCGGATCTGGCGCGGCCGCCCCGCCCCGTCCCCGAGCACGTCCGGGTCGGGCGGTGCCGTGAGGGGAAGTGCGCGCGGCGGCGGCGGCGGCGGCCCCGGCCCGGCTTGAGGCGGCCCCGGCCCGGCTTGAGGCGGCCCCGGAGTGTGGAGGGTCCGGCGGGCCCCGCAGAGCAGTCGCCGACATGTCGCGGGGCTCCATCGAGATCCCGCTCCGGGACACCGACGAGGCGAGTCGGGCTCTGGGAGGCGGCGGGAGGGGCTGCAGGTGGAAGGGTGGTCGGTGCCGGGGCGCTGCCCCTCGTAGTTCTGCCGCGGGGGGCGGGGGGCGGTGTCGCTGCTTTCCCTGAGGTGCCGCGGCCGCAGGTGTGTGTCCAGGGGAGTTCTCCCCGTAGGTTGTTCTGTCAGATTTTTCTGACCGCACTGTTTGTAAACAGCTTGGCGCTCCTCAGGCAGGCTGGGCAGCGGGTCCTCTGGGTAAAGTTACTTCAGGGTGGGTTTAGAAACTTACTTAAGTTTTCTTTAGTTAAGATAGACTGTCCCAAGCCAAGGTGAAAAAAGATTTAAGCGAAATCTTTGGAAATTTCCAGGGTGTTATGAAGTGAGAAGTTAAATCGTTCCATATCAGATACTAAGTGAATAGTGTAGCTAAGGAAGTTATTGAAACATAACTGCTCACAGGTTGAAGAATATTCTCTGTGAACATATGCATCCACACTCTTTTATATATATGTTGGTATATATATTTTTATATATATATATGTATATATATACACACATATACATATATATACATACATGTATATGCACGTGTCATATGTATATATAGAAAAAAATTCACGTGACTGCCATTGAATTTTCAAGTCTCACAAAGGTACTTTATGGATTTTAGATGTTGGAGGGTGTTTTTTTCAGTGACAGAAATTTCTGTGTGAGGTGTCAACATGAATAGTTGATCATGGTGCTGCTCTTCAACTTCTGCCTGGGACTACTTAGATCCTGAAGTTTAAATTAATCAGTAAAGATTGCTTTAAAATACTACCCCCCTTCCCCCCAGCCTTTTTTTTACTTCCATTTTGTATTTGCTGAGTTGTGTTTCTCCTTAATAACTCTATTAGTTCATGGATGAGTGTTGCCCAAATTTAAAGACATCATTATCTGTTGAAACAGGAGGTACTGTGCAAGACAAAACTAAAATTAACGGTAGTGGCAGAAATATTTTTGCTGGTACTCTAAAGTCTTGCATAGGCAAAGCTATAAGCCCATATAAATTGGATTGCTTTAATTCAGCCTAGAGAGAAGGAGTCCCTGCATTGATAATCAGGGTACAAGCCTGGGTACAACAACTGCACCTCTCCCTTACTGTCAAATTGACTTGTAACATAGATGACTAATATTAAAGGTAGCATGACTGAGTAGCAGGTGAACTAACAGGCAGTTAAATTGTGTTCCCAGATATCCCCCCTGGGTAGTATCTGTTCCTTTTTCCTAGTTTTTAATATCAGAAGAGTGGATCAGCATGGGAAGACAGTCTTGCAAAATAATCTTGGCATGATGAAAAGTTAATGTTGTTTACTGATGATGACTGCAGTTGTGAATTTTCAGAAATTTAGTTGTTTCAGTAGTGTCTTACTTTCCTTGGGCATTAAGAGGACTTTATGAAATTTCAGGACTCTGAGATAAGTCTTGAGTATTGACCCTCTGACGTCTGATAACTTGGAATATTTTGACTCTGTCCTAGATTTTTGTATTACCTGTAGGAAAAGTTTTAGAAATTCAGCAGTGTGCAGTCAAGTTGGTTATCAGCTGGACTGTAAAAATTCCAAGCCTGAAGTCCATGGTGAAAGAAGTTGAGTTAGCATCTCTGCTTATTCTCCCAATATTATTCCAAATATTGGGTTGTCTTTTCTGTGTTATTTCTGAGAGGCTGTCGCTTTTGTCTTGTACAGAATACATTACCTTATCTCTTCCTTCTTTGTCCATAACCTTGTTTAAACACGAGCAATTATTTATGTTTTGTGCTCTGAAATGTCCGGCTTCCTTTGAGCTCAGTGATAGATAATGTTTATTAATGTTTTGTGAGAAGCTAATCTGTACTGTTTGGTTCTAGGTTATCGAGCTTGACTTCGATCAGCTGCCTGAGGGTGATGAAGTGATAAGTATCCTGAAACAGGAGCACACCCAGCTGCACATATGGATTGCCTTAGCGGTTAGTATTTATACAAATTGTGTATTTAAGTGTTATATTCACATAACAATAATAATTTCCACTTCCTTGCTTTTATGGCCAGTGATAACTGAATCCTGAACAGGAACTTAATGGGATCGTTCAGTCACTGACTCGAAGCCTGATATTTCTGATTTGACATATGCATATTGAGATCTTAACTTCAGCCTTTTTTCGTGAAGCAGTGCTGCTTGAGCCTTGCTTTCTAAGTTGTTTTTTATATTTCAGTCAACAGTTTTCCTGATTTGTGCCTCTGGTTATGCACTTCATAAAAAAGTAGGGGGCAGTGTCTATACTATGGAAAGTATGGTGAAATGTGCAAAAAGACAAAAGTTCAGAGGAAAGCCATTGGAATCTTTACTTATAAATGCCTCAAACCCTTGTGTTTTAAGATGGTGAGTCACTGGGACACGTTGCCCGGAGAAGCTGTGGATGCCCCATCCCTTGAAGTGTTCAAGGCCAGGTTGGACAGATCTCTGAGCAACCTGGTCCAGTGAAAGATGTCCCTGCCCATGGCAGAGGGGTTGGAAGTAGATAATCTATGATCCCTTCCAACCCAAACCATTCTATGATACTATAACAAGAATATTCGGCGTTCTCAGAATGCCTCTGTCTGATGATCCCTACATTTACATCTGTTTTATCCCTACACGCTGGGAAAACAATCTGTGTGACACCTAAGGCATCCACTTGATGTGTTATGTGCTTGCTGGGGTAGTGCTGTGTGTTAAAACTCCGTGTTTCGTAGCTGGAATACTACAAGCAAGGGAAAACAGAAGACTTTGTGAAGCTGTTGGAAGCTGCGCGCATCGATGGCAACTTGGACTACAGAGACCACGAGAAGGATCAGATGACGTGTCTGGACACCCTGGCAGCCTACTATGTGCAACAGGCTCGGAAGGAGAAGAACAAAGACAACAAGAAGGAGCTCATTACACAGGCTACCTTGCTGTACACTATGGCTGACAAAATCATCATGTACGATCAGGTAAGACCAGAATCTGCTTAAAAACCCGCATTTGTAAATTGTTTAGTCATTGGAAAGAGAGCAACCTAAATCTTTGTTCACGAAGCCTAGCCATGATTATGTAAAGAGAGCAAGTGTTGATTCACTAAAGGGAAGACAGGAGCTGCTCAGGCTTTGGTACATGTAAGCAAAACTTGTAAGTACCTAAAATGTGTGTGGTGCCACCAGGAATGATTATCTCTAGCTTGACACATGTGATAGAACGACTTCAGTCAACTCTTGGGGGTTGGGAAAGAAGCATTTATTGTTACACTCTTGCTTGGTAATAAGTGAACTTTAGAAGGGATGATGAAGACCCTTTCTGTTTTATTTTACTGCTGATGTAAGAGAAATCAATTAATCATAGAAAGCATTATAGTGTAGCCAGTTAATCTTTCCTGTCATCCAAACTTCATATTTTACGAAGAGAAATTTATTGCAAATTTTTTGTCTTGGTTAGAATCACTTGTTGGGAAGAGCCTGCTTTTGTCTGCTTGAAGGTGATAAGATGGACCAAGCTGATGCACAATTCCACTTCGTGCTCAACCAATCTCCAAATAATATTCCTGCCCTTCTCGGTATGAGTTTATGTGTATTTGTAAAAACCTGATCTTTTTAGTTGAGTTTTGAAATGGATTATGTCCTTAAGAGGGCTCATATGTGAGTAGAGAGAATGTGGTCAAGAGGTGACCAGAAACACGTGGCAGAGGCTACTTTAAACTTGGGAAGCATGCATAGGTGGAAGAGCTGGGAGAAAGTGGAATGTTAGCTGGCATCTTCTGGGACTTGTGGCCATACCTACAGTCCAGCTACTTGTACTTCCCTGATGATGCCAGTGAAGCTGTGTACTCTGTTGAGGGTGAAGATACTGCTGGTGAGGGGCCAGTGGGCTGTAACACTTGTAATTTAAGTTGTTCACTAGTCTTAGTAAGTGTCTTTCCTCTGGACCAGGAAGGAATTAAGTTTCTGAAAAAGAAAAAAAAAAGAAAATGTAAATTTAATGTGTTCCCATGTTTGATTTTTTACATATACTTGACATCATCCAAGATAACCAAAGATGTAGTTGTCTGAATTTTCTGTTAGTTTTTAACTGTAACTTTTGAAAATTGGCACAATTTACTGAATAGTACTTGTGCTTCTGGTTTATAACTGCTTTGTTTTTACTTCTGATTTATCCACAACAGGTAAAGCATGCATTTCCTTCAACAAGAAAGATTACAGAGGAGCCCTTGCCTACTACAAGAAAGCACTGCGGACCAATCCAGGTTGCCCAGGTAAGGCAGAAAGTATTTGCTGCTGGAAGTATTTGCAGTCCTTGCAAACTGATTAGATTCAAAGGGCATTTTTGTGGTTTATATCTGTCAGAAAAACCTCAACCCTCATTATAGAGGAGTTCAGGTGTTCATTGACTTGAAGTATTAATTGTTAGAGAAGGAAATTGTGTTTAGGAAAATACTGTTCTTTTTTTCCGAGTATTACTTTTTAAAGACCTATTAGAAA